TACATGGGCTCCTCGCGCGGCTCTTCCCGCGGCGGGGTCGCTCGCGCGCTCGGCCGCGCTCGGGGACGGCGGGGACGGCGGCGGCGGCGGCGGCGGCGGCCCCGCTTCTCTCCCCGGTGGTGTCGGAATGGGAGGCGGCTCCGCGCGGGTTAGAATCGCCGCAGAGGCAACATTAGCGTCTGAAACGAGGTGGCTCTTTAACCCCTGAGGGACCAAATTTGGGGGTTTAGAGGAGGCGAAGGCTGAACTTTCTGGATTCCTCCTCGTCCCTCGGAGTGGTGCAGGTAGCCGCGGGGAGAATGGAGTCTTTTGTTCCCGGTATTTTTTATTAGGTGGATTTTTTTTTTTTAATTTTTTTAAAGGGTAGTATACAGTCCTGATCCACGAGGTAAAGCTGTCGTTTCTCCTGCATTGGGTGACTTTTGCGATGCGTCTTGTTGGACTCGTGGGGAGCAAATCTTAGCAGTCGTGATTTGGGGTAATTTATGGCTTGGATGTGTTTTAAAATCTGCATTGAGCTTAGATTAATCAGCCCTTCGCTTCCATTAACTAAAATCCATCATACTGATTGCTTAATGGGGAAAGAGGTACAAAATAATCGTGCTAATTAAAAGAGCGGATTTTCTCTTGCGAAACACTTCGTGTGTGATTTTTGCCAGGAGAGGGTTTTGTACAGCCGAGTCTCTAAAAGAAATCCAACTTTGCCGTTGTGTTTCCATGCAGGTTGCTCCTGGAAGAATAGTTGGGGGCCGGCTGGGGGAAACGTGTGCACTGTCTAGTAAAGTAGAAAGCTTTCTACCATTTATGTGCGTATTGCCAGAGAATAAAACAAAGATCTGTGGCGTCTCTCAGAATGAGAGATGAGAAGTCACATTCCCTGCCTTCCCTGTGCTGGCGTCTCTATCTCTCTGGGATATCTCAGATATGATATGTTAAGAGTCTATGTGCCTGTGTCACAAAGTCATTCTGTCTTCTGAAAGCCTAATATAATCAAATTCAGTGCCTTAAGATGGTGTAGTTGAAGATTTGATCCCTTTCCACTGAAGTGGAAATACTTTCAGTAATTGAAAGCAGATTCACGTCTGGAGTTGTACAAGCCAAGGTTTTCCTTTTTAAAATAAACCTTTTGTTCTCTGGTTTTAAATGTTTCAGAGCTTCATGCAGAGACCTCTCTGTGCTAATTGTTAAAGTAGTCTTGAAGAAAGGATTGAAAATATCCAGAGAAGGCATTTTAGAAATACAGCTAACTTAGCGAGCCTGTCTCAGTAGGAGAATATTTTAGTGCAGCATATACTGTCTGTGGCCCACATTTTTTTTTCCCCCACCAGATTCCCTGGCGTTAAAATGCAGCTGTACTGGTTCAAAGCCCCCAAAGCCTAAGCAGTGTCCATCTGTCTTAAGAGGTTAAAAAACTTGTGAAATTTGGGTGTGACTCATTTTATACTGTGATCTACACAGTTTGGTGATAAATTGGAAATCAAGTATAAACTATGTTTAATTGAAAGAGATGCTGGTTCTATATGAACCGATGAACTGCAACTTGCCCCAGAAATGTGATTGCAGGTTGTTAACCTGGTGTCTTTCTCCTCTTTGCAGGCTAAGTGTTAAAAGCCTTAAAGAATTGGCCATTAAGGACTGAAATTAGGGTACTATTCCAGACAAAGAGGGAATCACTTGATCTCCTATTAGCCGCCAAGATAGAGAATGCCTTATGGAAGAGTGTCACCTTCTTCGGCACATGGGATCTGAAATGAATTGTGTGATTAGGAGGGAAAAGTTAGAAGAGTTGTACACTGAACAAGGATAAGTGAGAGATCAGAGAGCTAAGGGAAAGGGAGTGTTCCAAATATTTTTAATTACTAGTTTCTTGAACCTGTTGTGCTGATTATTGATGAGATGAGAACGGATGGATTTACAGAGGATAACATGGCAGTTCGATTCCCTGAGAACTGGTTGGTAGCTTTTTATTTTACCTTGCTTCCTTGGCTTCGTCCCAGTTGATCCCCCGAGCACATTAACATAAACGCAAAGTGAGTAACCTGGTTATGATTTAAAAGGCTGTTCGTGTTCACATTTCTCAGGTAAAAGTCCTCTTTCCTAAAACCAGTGTTTGAAACACGGTGCAAGTCTTTGAGTACCAAATAAAATCGTCCCCCACGATGGCCATTGGACGGGTCGCATCACGTTTCTTAGATACAGCGCCTAGTGTGCGGCATAAAAGAATTTAATTCTTCTCAAAGACTTAGAAAAAGAAAAGTGACTTAACGTGCACCCTTCCAGATGCCTGAATACTGATTTTCAGTGTAAAATCCTTGTCTAAACACTTAAGCTAACCTTCTTTGTGACTTGTATTTACTATTAGTTTTTATGTCCTTATTATTATTATTATTATTATTATTAATTTTTTTTTTACTTGGAAAGGGGATTCACAGGATCTTCTGTCATCTCAAATAATACATCCAATTAATCACGGGACTCCTTTCTTTCATAATGTAGGAAAGTGCAAAGGAGGCACTGTCTAAAATACAGTGATCTTGATAATTAATGCCATAAAATAGATTAAAATGCTGTATCCCAGGTATTCATTTCCTTAAAAGGGCCACCAGAACAGCGTTGCTAAGCACCCGTCACTACTGCAAGTAACAGAAAATGACCCAAATTAAAGAACCTGTTCTGAGCTGTATTCTTGCATTTTCTAAAGTGCATTTCAAAAGGTTTAACAAGACTCATTCAATTAGTGGAGAAAAAAAGATCTATTTTCAGCTCTGATCAGCAATTAAGAGATTGGGCTTTGGAGCATCAGTCTCTTTATGCTTATAATTTATTTTGTTTTCTGGACTTTGACTAAACAATTGTGAATGAAGATTTTTTACAAACCACCTCTCTAACAATCTAAATGCAGAAGCCAAGTATAGGATGTTATATTTGTTTTAAGTCTTTATCTAAAGGAGTGATTTTTGTTAACTTCTCCTCATATTAAAAAAGTTTACATTTTACCCTGACGTGGTATATCACTGCTTAACTATACACTTCTTAACTCTTTGTGCAAATATAGGTATGCATAGATGCACATCTCCATTCCAGCCATGCTTTGACCTCCTAGCTTATCCTGGATGTGAGTGCTTTAGCGCCAAACTTTCGAGAAATAGGATATGCTTCCTAACTTAAGGATGTTTGGGTGTTGTGAATTTGGTACCATGAAGGAGATAGAGTGATATGTCTCAGTGCGAAAGTAAGTGATTACGGGATTACGGGCAGTAGTTTTTCGTTTTTTGTATTTTTTTTTTTTTTTTTTTACCCTAACGTGAGTTGTACCCTTCTGGGTTAGATCAGAACTTCTCCATAGTTTTGGCTACAAACCCGTCACAACTGTGACCGTGTTTAAAGAGCTAGATCTTCCAGTGACCTGGTTTTTTAGCTACACCAGCAACAGACACAAACACAAGTGGTGAAACTTGCAGGCAGAGAGGGAAGAATGTAAAGATGAGGAGGTTAGAGAATAAGAGAGAGGAGCAGGGGGCTTCCCAGAGTTTTAGATGAGGATTACCAACAAGATTTTGCTGCATCACGTTGATCTGGAAAAGTCTAAAGCATATAAATATAGATGTTAAGTTCTCGATCCTAAGTGCTGTTTTGGCTGTAATCGTATACGAAGGGATTCTATATCCTCAAATAGTGACTATTTTGGAGCCAACAGTAACACTTCATTTTTTCTTTAAATAGTATTTTACATTGGAAATTCTTTATATTTACATGTATCGGATTGCTTGACGTTACAGATTTCTCTAGCAATAGAGGATACGGAATACATTAATAGGACTTTCATGACAGTTTTGCCTAAAATAAAAGGTCATTGTGATACACAATTACGTCTAAGATTTTTTTAACCTGTGTGCAGTTAGGTATTTGGAATGTGCTGTTTTTTTGACATGTGGAAAAATTTTTCCCCACAGAGAATAATAATTTGATGTGTAGCAGTTATTTGATTATATATTGTTTTACAAGGTTTGGCATGGTATATATTTTAATACTTAAGAAACCAGTTGCTTTAAAATGTATGTGTTGATTTTCGTTACAAACCTGCCTGTTCGGTTACGAATCCTATGTGTTTAAGTTTTGAAATATGTACTCTTAAATCTTTACTACAATGGAGAGAGAACAACTACTTCTTTGGTATCCCAGAAATAGTTTATGGTACACGTATTACTGGCAATAAATTCATTTCACGGGGGAAGAATAAGACTAGAGAAGTACACACAGATATTTGAGGGAGTATCACATCGAAACAATAGTAAGATTTGGGAAGCCACGTGCTGTAGTATTTAAAAGAAAAAGAGTTTCCCTCTTAAGAGTTATTTCCCTCTCTTCACATTCAATGCTGTTTCAAGTAAACATCTTGTCTTCTACATTTACAAAGCAGAATGGATTATGAAGCCTACCGAAATGAGTAATACAGAACTAACGTGGAAAAACACTTCACTTTTTTCTATTTATGTATGTATATGGGTCACCGTAAACGTTTTTAAATGAAAAGGATGTGTGGGAGTTTTCATGAAATTTTTCATGTTAGTTTCTGCACAGTACCTTTTCTCC